GATGCTATAGCTGGTTCCCGCCTTCCGCCCCACTTCACCCAAATACACTGCGTAGGATCTCTTCGAAGATGTTAAGAGATCGATCGGAGCTCCCTCGAAATAGCACCCTTCTCTAATCAGGTCCTGGGTTTCCGGACCAAATACACTTCTATTTTTTCAACCCTCATTCCCCGGACTCTGGTGCAGACCTCAAATTAGTCCCGGATGCTTTTTTCGGAAACGTTCAACCAGCAGCAACATACGGGACAAAACAGAGACTTCGACTGTGCTCAGTCTCCTTTTGAGTCCTTGTAACGATCGGATCTTTGCATCATTACCGAAAAAACAAAAATTCCTACATTTCATAAGCTTACGGGTGTCTATTCAAAATACAAATGCTGAACCTTCCTGTACTTCCTGCCCTGGTTCCTGCAAAAACACGAACAGAGGATAACGTTTCTCCTACTTGCGATCCCACTGTCCATATTACCAGGAAATTCAAAAAACAAAATTCCTATATTCCGCAAATTTACGGGTGTCTACTCCATTCACCTCAATGTGAGTGTCCGAACCATCACGTAATTCCTATCCCGGTTCCACCAAAAACTGATAAAGCCTATCCTACCCTCTGTCATTCCAAACGTCCACCTCATATTTTAAAATTCCTGGAAAACCCATCCTTTTCAAATCACAAAAACACTTGGACGTTCGAGCCGAACAAAAAAACACCTTTCTTATGAGAAATGCAGAGCGGTCGTGCCGAACAAACACACGTATCACGACCCAGTTCTTTACGAAAAAGACAAAAACCTGAGTATTCCAGGGTACATCGCGGATAGAGTATCTTTCCAGGGACCACCGGAAAGTTTAGCGAACTTCGCTAACGCAGCGAGAGAGAGAGAGAGAGAGAAAGAAAGAAAGACAGAGAAAGAAAGAAAGACAGAGAAAGAGGGAGAGGGGGGCTACCAGAGAGAGAGAGAGAGAGAGAGAGAGAGAGAGAGAGAGAGAGAGAGAGAGAGAGTTTTGTTCCATTTGTTGATACGAGTGAGAGAGAGAGACAGGGAGCGAAAGAAAGAAAGAGAGATTGAGAGAGAGGGAGGCGGGGGCCTACCAGAGAGAGAGACAGAGAGAGAGAGAGCGGCTGAATGATAAAATTGAAATACGGGTCTTTTTTGAGGCCGCAGCCTATTTCACAGTTGGAATGATTTTTTTTAATTTATTTAGCATTTTTCCTGGAAAGATCACAACAAAATCTACAAGTACTCCAATTTTCAGTTTTTCAACACATTCTTTTGAGAGTGAAAACTCACTGAATTTGGAGTACTTTTTAAGTTGGCCCACACATGGTTGAGTGGCAACAATGGAAAATGTGCCGAATCGGCGCGACGATTATTTTTCGGTCTAAATGATTTTTTTTTAAATATTCTAATATTTTTCCTAAAAAGAACACGACCTCATCTATGGATTCTCAAAATTTCAGATTTTTCTGTGGGTTCCTCTGAGCACAGAAAATCGCCGAAGTTGCCTCTTGTAAAACGCCTGTTTCGTTGCGCCTGACCTCCCTGTTTTGAGAAGACGGGCCTCAACGCCTGGGCCTGAGGGCCCTTCTGCAGTTCACATGCCCTCACTTCGTTTTGGGGTCCGCTTCCACCCGTGGACCCGTCCAACGCCCCCCACTTCTTTTTGGGGTCCACTTCCACCCGAGGACCGGTCCTTCCTTTTTCCAAAAGTCCCGGTTCTACCAGAGCTAGCTGTAGGTAGTCCTCACTTTTGGCAAGGACCGGTCCCCCAATTTTTTTGCCCCCTAAGAACCCACTTTGGGTCCTGGTCGCCTGCCGCCAAAAATGCAACACCTTGACACAGACGCCGAACCCCACTAGACCGCAGCCTTAGGGCTGCGAACAATGTATGTGAACATGATATGTCAGAATCCATTCAAGGGCCAGATGGTAAGCAGCCCAGCCTATTTTCCTACGAGTTATCAA